CGCCCGGGGCGGGCGCCGCGGGGGCGGCCCGGCCGCCGCGGCAGGAATGATAGCAGCGACGACATGGGTTGCGCCAGGCGGCCGGCCCGCGCTGTCTTGGAGTTTTTTGGGCGCGGCTAGGACGCGGCAGCTGTTTAGCTGGGCATCATGTTTCGCTGCTAAGGCTTTCGGCGGCGCCGCCGGCCGCGCACCAGTGTGGCGCAGTCGAGGCGGAACACCTTGATCGCGGTGTTGCGGCCGCAGAAGGCCGCCACCTTTTCGTATTCCGGCTTGAACGCGCGGCAGTGAGGGCACCAGCTGGGGGGGGTTTGCGGCCGGACGGACAGGGCATGTGCGGGCGCACGGGCGGGCGGAGCTCGGGCGCCCAGGTCAATACTTTGCACTTGCATCATGGCGATGAGCGGCATCGTCGATCCGCGGCGACGGCATCAGGCCATGCGCACCGCCACGCCAAGCGCCGGCGGGGAATGGCTTCGAGTGCAATCTGTCGGCCCCACCCGCCGCCCGACGCATCGGCGCAGCCGAGGCGGCCCCACTTGCCCTTGGCCCCGCCGCCCGCTGACCTGGCGTAAAACTCCACCACGACGCGGCTCTCCTTTGGCAGCGAGCTGAACGCGGTTGTGAAGTTTGACTCCACCAGGTCGATCGGCAGCGACGGGGGCTGCGGCTTGCTCGGCTGCTGCTGCTGCTGCTGCTGCTGCTGCTGCTGCTGCTGCTGCTGCTGCTGCTGCTGCTGGCTATCGAGGGAGCTGGCCGCCTTTGCCGCGTCCTGTGACTGCGGCAGCGGCCTCCCTCCTCGCGCTGCAGGCGCCACTACCAACACAAGCACCAGCCACGGCAGCAGGTGTGAGCCCCGCCGCATCGCGCGGTGGGGCGTCATGCAGTGGGGCGGCACGCCTGCGAGCGAGCTGTGCACCGCACAGCCGCGTGCCGTGAAGCAACGCTGTACGTAAGGTCAAATGTGTATTAGGTCTGATTCTTACAGCGGCGCAGACGGCAGTTCAAGGCCGCACTTGAGTCATATAAACCAACTCACGAAGTCTGAAAAGGATGCGCACAGCGTTTTGATAATGGTGTCTACAATGTGATGTGCGGTGTGCACAAACTGTTTCTGCATGCCTGCACGATCTGTATAACCTGCGTTCGTCACCAGAACACCGCGCTTGATCTGCTGCAGTGATCCACGGGCGCCGTGGCCTAGCATCTCAACAGCTCCAACACCGTAGCATGCCCCCTGTCATGCTGTTGCATGGCGCACATCACGCTGGGCTCGGGGGCCTCAACGGACTACGGGCGGCGACGACGCCGCAGCCGCTGGCAAGCACTGGGCTCTGGCGGCCGTGGCTCGCCCGGCCTGGCCCGCAGCAGGCGGCTTCTTTATCAGCTGCTGCCGCGGCCGCGGCCCATGGGGCGTCACCCGCCGAAGCGGCCACCGGAGAGGCGCCGCGGGGCAGGTGCGGGGTCTGCGACACAGCATTTGCGACAGCGCGCACCACTCGCCATGCGAGGCAGCGGCCTGCACCAAGCAGCGTTCTCGACGCACATGGCAGTGGCTCTGGTGTTGTGTCTGTGTTCAAGCAGCGCCCGTGCCGTCCCGCCATAGAGGCGAGGCATCATGCTGCGCGTGCTGTGCGTGCTGGGGCGCCCCTGCTTCCCTCCCGCCCGACGACGTCACCATGTTGCAGCCCCATCGGCATCCAATCGGCCGCAGGCTGTACCTGATCGATGCGAAAGCCCAGGTGTACCGCCTCTCCCACGGCTACGGCGACGCCGCGACGGCGCCGCCCCCCGCGCCGCAGGCCGGCCCGGGCAGCGGCAGCGGCGGCGGCAGCGGCGAGGAGAGCTCGCTGGTGGCTCACGGGTTTGTGAACATTTTGCTGAGTCTGTTCAACCACAAGCCGCCGCCCACCCACATGGCGGTCGTGGTCGATGCGCCTGGCGCCACCTTCAGGCACGCCTGGGCATGGAAAGTTGATAAGGGGGAATGCTTGGGGTCAGCGGGCGGCGGCGGGCGGGCGCGTGTTCACTTCACGATTTTTGGCGCAAAACAGAACATATTGGACTGCATGAGGGCTGCGTGTGGCTGTAGATGGAGGGCTGTAGCTGCTGCTGTGTTTGGCGCGCAGCGCCGCCCGTTCCCCAGTTTTTTTTTGCGATTCAACTGGCCCAGGCCTCACGGCTGGTCCTGCCTGCGGTGCCTCCCGCACCCCGCGCCGCGGCCGCCGCGCAGGAGCGTGCTGTTCCCTCAATACAAGGCGCAGCGCAGCGCGGCGCCACAGGGTGAGGGCGGGCGGCGCAACGCGCCGCGGCAGCGGCACGAGGCGGGCGCGTGCGCCGCTTGGCCGCCCAGGGGTGCCCCATGTTCTATGCAGGACGGATGGCTTTGGTGGGGTGCGGCGGGATCGCCCTACTGACTGCTCTTTGCCAAGATCAAGGGGAAATCCACGACCAAGCCCCGCCCATCTGCGGAACAGGACACCTTAGAATTGCCCTCATGTCAATCACCCTTGCTGATCAGAACGCGCGCTCATGCTGCGCCGCCGCAACACGGCTCGCACCCCCCCAAAATCCACCCCTGCGGCCCTCAGACGCACCCGCCCTCCCCCTCTCCCCCTCTCAAATCGCACCCATTCACCGTCGCACACGCCCACGTGTCACCCACCAGGCCTCAAGGAGGACCTGGGCCGCATCCTGGACGTCGTGGACGCCCTGGGGGTGCCCATACTGACGGTCCCCGGCGTCGAGGCCGATGATGTCATCGGGACGCTGGCGGCCAGGGGGGCGGACCATGGGCTGGACGTCACCATCGTGTCGCCCGACAAGGTGATGACGCCCGCCGGGCGCTGCGCCGTCCAGCATTATACCTCAATGGAAGCAGCCCGTCCCAGACCCGTATGAGCAGTGCACGCACCACTTCATCTGCCATCCGTCATGAATCGGGTCGTCGACCTGCAGAGCGGCCCAATGACCCTGTCTATGCGCCCTCGTCCCCCGCAGGACTTTTTCCAGGTGCTGCGGCCCCGCGTGCGGCTGCTGCGGCTCATCAAGGCCCCCAAAAAGGTGGCCGTCGCCCCCGGCAGCATCTTCTACACAGAGGCCGACTTTGAGGCGGAGCACCAACTTGGGGACGCGCGGCTGTGGGCGGACGTCATGGCGCTGCAGGCGCGATCGATCCCTCGGGCCGCCCCGCCGCCGTGTCGCAGATTGCCGGCCATTTTCTGACTGCGTGCTGGGCGGGACGCCTCGGCCGGCTGGTTGCTGGTCGCCGCGTCCGTGGGCGCGCACGACGCCCGCCTGTATACATCAAATTCCCATGTTCCTGTTGTGGGGTCGAGCGGACGGCTGAGTCAGGCGTGGTCATCAGCCCCCCCAAAACTCCATCACCCCAGGGTGACGTCAGCGACAACATCCCGGGGGTCAAGGGCATCGGCGCCAAGTCGGCGCTGCGGCTGGTGCAGGCGTGCGGCGGCGTGGAGGAGGTGCTGGCGGACGGCAAGTGGGAGGGCGTAAAGGTGCGGG